CAGCAACGTCCAGGGTCCAGCGGAGCGATGGGAGCCAGAGCCCCCGAGTCACTGGGATCCCTGCACTGCGGGGTGCCAGCCCTGGGGTTGGTCTACCACACTCCCACCCCAGTGGCCGGCGCCGAACTGCCACGAGTCCAGCTTGTGCTGTGCTGAGCTCGGCGTCTTCACTGAGAGCTGCGACGCTCCTGGAAGGTAGAGATTGTTGATGGCGAGGCACAGCCTCTACCCCCCAAATCCGTTCACGCGTGTTGGCAGAGTGTGCAGCAGAAACGCTGCAGGGCAGCTCAGCTGCTGTAGCGGCTGATGCAGCACACAGGAGGATAGCGTCGGTGCAGCCCCAGGTGGTCCTGGCCCAGCAGGAAGCCAAAGGAGCCAGCACCATCCAGGGATGGGCTGACAGCTTCCTGCAGGAGGGAACCGGGAGCCTGCAGCTGCATCCAGGGGTCATTGGGTGGCACAGCATTAGGGCTGGGAGCCAAGGCCTGGGCAGCCAGCAGGCAGTGCTCTGTTCTGCCAGCACGCCTCTAAGGGTTCTGGAAGAGAACGCACCTACAGATTGGGAAGAAGAGGGAACCTTCCACAAAGCCTACGAGAGGCACAGCTCCTGTAAGGCCAGCGTCTGCCTGTGCCCAGTGGGACGGCACTTCTCACTGAACAGGGGATGAGTGTGCCTCAGTGCCCCAGACCCCAATCCCTCCACCACGGCGCAGGCCTGAGCGGGTGCCGCCCCCCCCAGAAATGAACTAAAATTTCTCAGAGTAGGAAGGTGAGTGCAGAGCATTCCTGCAGTGGATGTGCCTGTGCCACGTTTAGGAGTCACGCTGCTCACGTGCTTGGGGTGATAATGCCCTGCAGGGTGCAGGCTGTGCCAGCATGCAGAGCACAAACCCGACATCTATGGAGAGAGGTGCCATCAGGACCGGCTCTGCATCCATGAGAACTGCCTGGTGAGCCCCAGGCCCCCAGCCCCCAGCCCCGCGCCCGCCGCTGCCCCCCACTGCCCCCCACGCGCACTAACAGGTCCCCGGTTGCCTCCTGCAGTACCACGCCAGCGGGCTGTACCAGCGCGGCGCTGACGATGAGGGATTCTTTGGATTCCTCATCCCGGACATCGAGGAGGTGCTGCAGCGCGTGGCACAGAAGGTGAATAGGGCGACGCGTCCCCACCTCGGTCCCCGTGCCACGTGGCTGGGAGACTCCAGCAGAGCCCTGGTTGTCCAAGGAGACCCACGGCTGCACAAATCGCAACTGATGAGTGCTGCGGGGTCCCTAGCCACGTGGCCCACCACATCATCACCGTGCTCTGCTGGGCAAGGGTCACCTGTGTGTGCACGGCACTGACGCCCAGCACCGCACTGCTGTCCCCAGAGATGCTGCGTCTGCCAGAACCAGGGCGCCTCGGTCCGCTGCCATCACGGCAGATGCTCCCGCACCTTCCACTACCCCTGCGGAAGAGAACGCGGCTGCATCTCCCAGTTCTTTGGAGAGTACAGGTGAGCGCGGGCACCCGCGGGGCTGCAGGATGGATGGGGCAGGAGCTGAGCTGCCACCTCCATCCATCCTGCAGGTCCTTCTGCTGGCAGCACCGGCCGACCCAGCACGTGAGGCCACTGCAACAGGACAACCCGCAGTGTGCCATCTGCTTGGAGGCGGTGGAGGGACGCCCCACCTACACCACCCTGGTCTGTCCCTCCTGCACCGGCGCTCAGTTCCACCGCCACTGCATCCAGGTAGGCGGCATTGCCTCCAGACCACAGCATCATCCCCAGCACCACCCAACCCTGCCACCCTGGCATCGTCCCCAGCCCTGGGGCCCCCAGCTCATCTTCTGCCTTCCCCAGGCCCAAACTCTGCGCGCTGCCCTGCACCACTTCCGCTGCCCGCTCTGCCAGGACATGCAGACCTTCCAGGCAGAGATGTTCCGCCTCGGCATCAAAATCCCAGACAGGTCAGCACCCACCGCCCTGCCACCGCCCGCCCCCCCCCTCCACCTCCCCTCGCACTGCACTCAGCTGTCCCCGGCTCCCTCCCACAGGGATGCGGCCTGGGAGGTGGAAGAGGGAGCTTTCCATGACCTGTACCAGCGGCACAGCTCCTGTGACACCGGTCTCTGCCTGTGCCCACTGGGAAGGGACCACTCTGAGAACACCGGGTGAGTGAGCTCGGACCCCAGTGTCATGGCGACCTGGCGCCTTCATCCCCTCCTTGCAGCTGGGATGGAGGCTGGCCAGGATGCTGAGCTCAGCACGGCACAAGCTGTGCCCTGGTAGCTCAGTGCCAGCCACCGCCGTGGGAGCGCACGCACGCACCGCCCCACGGCTGGCATCCCACAGCCCTGGGACCCCCGGTGACCGTGCGGCTCTGGCTTCTGTCACTCCCACAGGCCCTGGAGGATGCTGCTCTGCAGCTCCTGCGGTTCCTGCGGCACCCACCAGCACTGCTCTGCCATCGCAGAGGACGTCACTGCCCCAGTTCCAAGCTCCTACCCCTGTACACTGCAGCAGTCACGGGATCTGGCCCTTCCGGGTGGGGGGGGCACTCTCTTGCTGCCTTGCAGTGGGTGCTGGAAGTGCTTTCCTAGCCGTTCCAAGCTTTTCAGGTTTGACTCGGTCCTGGGAACTCTCATCTTGTCTATTAATCTCAATTTCAATTAAATTGTATATATTGTGTTATTTTGTATTCCAATATTATAATAAAATAAGTTTTCCTCCATAGATTGTTGCCGCTGCTCTTTTCCTCCCTTCCTTCCTTCCCATTTTTTGTGGGACTGGGGTGGGGGGGGGGGGGGCAGAGGCCAGTCGCCCCTGTCGTGGACATAGATTGATCTGGTCAACTCCGTGACAGCTGTGCATGGGTCATGGGTCACAGCCAGCAGTCCTTCATGAAGGAGATGAACCATTTAAGAAACTTCAGTTCCTTTTTTGACAAGGTCACCCACCTAGTTGACCAAAGGAAAGCACTCACTGACATGATGGGCCAGCAGACGGCTGATGGGCCGGGCCCCAAGGCTTCTAAAGATGGGGATCCATCAGGCTGCCGGCCCGAAACTGGCAGCGTTCCCCAAGGCTCCGTTTTCTGGACAGCTGTCTCTCACTTTTTCATCAGTGATTTGGTTGTAGGGCTAGAAGTTGTTCTGAGCGAGTTTGCTGGTGGTTCTGAAATCACCAGCAGGTGAGGAGGAGGGAGGAGCTGCTAATTGCAGAGAGATCTTCACAGATCTGAGAGCTGGGCAATTGACGACCGCGTGAAGCTGAACCGGAGCGAGCGTGAAGTTGTGCGGCAGGGAAGGGGGCAGCACTGGGTTCCGTACAGCAGATGAGAAGCAGCAGGGGAGGGGCGGCCACCAGTACAGTTAGTTCCAAAGCGGTGCCATGAGGGCCGCGGCTCAGAGCGGCACAGCCGCGAGGCGATGGTCGCACTGCACTGTCTTGTGGTTTTTCCAGCCTTCCTGATTCTGTGACTCTCGCGCACTGTCGCACACTCACGCAGTCACTCCCTGCCTCACGCACGCACGCTCACACGTCACTCACGCCGTTCCCTGCCCCCTTCCGCCGCGCACTACAGCTCCCATCGCGCCCTGCGCCGCGCATGCGCGCTTGCCGCCTCCGCCTGCGTCCGGGAAGTGGCGGCGCCGCCGGGACGCCGTACGGGAGCGGGGCCGCGCCGCGAGCCGCTCCGTTGTGCGGCCGTGAGGACGGCGCCGCTGTTTTCTCCTGGGCCTCTCCGGGGCCTGCGGGCGGTGAGGTCTCCGGCTGCGCGGAGCCTGTCGGCTGTGGAGACGCGGCGGAGGTTGGTGCGGCGGGTGCAGTTCCGGGGGGTTTATTCGGGGCTCAGGCTGCCGCTCTCGTTTCTGTGCTTTCGGCTCGGGCTCTTTGCGCCGTGCTGGGCGGCCGGGGCTGCGGGAGGGCCGGGCCGCTCCGCGAATGTGAGCGCGGTGCCCGCGTAAGCGCTGCCCCTCTGTTCGCCATCGGTTCCGTCGCTGGATGCTTTCACCCGCCGCCGGCCGAGTTCCCCGTTTTGGAAGCTTGTGAGGTCATAATGAGGCACTTCTTAAAAACAGCGCGTGTGGAACCCGACGGGAATTGCCTCTGCGTGCTTTGAGGCAAAAGATAAAGGTATTTTTGTGAATGCAGAACTTCTAGTGAGGCAAAATCATTGAGACATAAGATAAATGCCTTCTATTCCTGTCCCCGGTGCAAAATTATTGAGGGAAAACATGACTGCTCGTCCCCTGAAGCCGAAATGGAGAGGTTTAGAACTACTGCTTATGCATGTGTTTTGCTGAACTGATATATTGATTCTTAAATTAATGTACTGACTCCTATTGCTAAAAAACTAACCCAGATGGGGCTCGAAGAGCAGGGAGTGAATTGGGTGGTGGGAAACGCCACTGAAATGCGCCCAGCTCTCACTGAGGTCCTCTGTTGAAGGCTGGCGAATGCTGCAGCACTTGTGCTGGTGCTAAAGGTCAAAGCAAACAAACCTTAATTCAGCTTCCTGAGCAGAAGTTGTGTGGCTGGAATAGTTGAAGTTTGTGCTTTGGGAAGTCAGATCCCTATAATCATTTGGGGCAGGCTGTGAGCCTGTGGCACATCCAGAGCTGTGGGGCTGCAGGAACAGGTCACCCCAAGTCCTCTCTGCTTCTGTGCACCAGCAGTCCAGGACAGGGGATGTTTCACCTTTCAAGTGGGGAAGCAAATGTCAGAGCTGTGCTCACATGCAGCAGGTCTGCTTGCTTTTGCTGGCATGTCCAGAGTGTCACTGCCACCCTGGTGTGACAGCAGGCTTTTGTCACCTGCCAGTTTTCAGCATCAGATATGATGGTGGCTGAAGATGTGGTGCTCAGAGCGCTGCTTTTCTTCATCTGCTGCTGTGCTTCAAAAAGAGAAGGAAAAAAAAACTGCTGACTCCCCCCAAAAAACCTCTCTCTGTTCTTCTTTCTCTGCTTGTGGCTGCATATTTGTCAGCAACTTCTGGGGGGGTGGGGGGAAATGGTGCAGTTCTCTATTTTGAGGCTCAGAGCACCTGCTGCAGGTATGCAGCTGCGCCGTGGGATGGACAGACCATCCCCAAGCCCTGCTCTGACTCAGTCCAGGGAGGGTGTGGATGTGTGGTGTGAAACCTGCCTTAGAATGATCTGGTGGAGGCAGGTGTTGAGCAGTTCGACACCTACAGCTTGAGTTTGGCGTTTGGAGCAGCAAAATAACCAACCTATGTGCATTGCTGTGCTGATTGCTTTTTGCTGTGAGCGGAGTGTGCTGTTGGTGACCCAGAGCAATTTGTCATTTCTGCATTCCTGGGAAAGCGTTGCTTTCATCTCTTAAACGCAGACACGTGGGTGAGTCTGTCCTTTGCTAGATTATTTTCTTCTTTTTTTTTTTTTCATTGTGTTTCTTTTTTAAGCTAGCAAGCCGTGTGAGCAGGATGGATGGGACGCTGTGTGGAGCGTAGGCTCTTCCCCATCCGGCAGCGATGTCATCCCTGCAGATGGCATCCTCCAGTGGAAGCCACCCACAGCTTTGCTGCCTCTTGGGAGGCCTGAACTTTTCTGCTTGGCAGGAAGGAAGCTCATAGCTCCTTATTGACTGGAGTGAAGTGAGCAATCAGCGACGTGAGACCTTAGGAGGGAGAAGGTGACTTTATTTTTAAACCCAAATGAATCTTGTTCATTCACACTCGTGTTCTTGTAGCCAGCTGCTCACCAGCACCACCACAGAGATTTCCCAATGCTCTGCCTGGCGTTCAGGCACAAGATAGACGTGTCCAGATGGTCTGGACAGAATTCCTTGCAACGGCACAGCAGCACAGGAATGTGAGCTATCAGTACTCTGCCTCTTGGACACAGCTTGGTGACCATGTGTGAGCAGTATCCCTGCTCCTAACGTTTGATAATGTTGTCAGCACAACCAACACCTCTTTCTTAAGTGAGTGGTCATCATTTCTAAGTGAGCTGTCACCGGTCAATCCCCCTCTTCCACTCCCTCACCTTGGAGGTCCTGGTTCCTGGCCAGCTGGGTGGGTTGTGGCAGCCTTGTGACAGCACGTGGGGCACTGCCCGTGACACCATACATAGTACAGCTGTGTCTTAATAGCATCTTCATTCTGCCTGTGTTCCCTAATAACTTGTCTGTCACCACTACTGTGTAATTCTTTCTCTTTTTTGTTTTTTGGATGGCTTTAGGTTTGCTGTTTTATATTTCTTGAGGGGCTAAGATCGTTGGTGATCTTTTGTCTGCATTCTGTCTTTGGTGTGTGAGTGTTAGGATTTAGCTGCTTCCCTTTATGTCCATATCTGGATGTCTTAAGGCTCCCCACCCCATTCTCTGTTCTTCCCCAGATCATTTCATAATGGCTTTTTGCATCTGGCTTCAGTTGTTAGTGATGCAAACTGTCCCTTGTTCTAAGATACTCCTTGTTTTCCAGCCTCAGAAGCTGCAGGTAGGCATGCTGTGATCCTGTCCTCAGCACAGGCTGTTCACTGTCCCCTCTGTTCCTCCTGCTACTTGCACACTTATTCCTCCCAATTCTTCTCTCCGATGAAGCTTAACAAATTTATTTCTGTGCTTTGCTGACTTACATGCATAAAGGATTCTCTTGTGGCTTGGTGTACATGTGTAATGCTGGAAGCTCCCTTACCTTACACAGGAGGAGTCAAGGGACTGATGCTGGATGAAAATGGAGTGATCAGATGCAGTGTCTGAAGGCACGGACTCAGATGTGGACAATCCAAATGGTTTGTTGCAGGTTCTAGCATCCCTTATATGCATTCCCACTTTCTCTTTTGTAACCTTCCTGCCCTCGTTTACATGTCAACAAAACATTCCACAAAGTCACCTCTGGTCTGCTCCTTACCTGAGCACGCAGGCGCTCATCCAGTCAGAGTCGTGAGTCGTTCCTAGCCGTGTGCTCTTCCTCCCATCAGGATCATTTATCGTGCGGCAGTCACGCATCTCTCCTTTCTCATGCCGTTTGTCTTGCTCCACAGTTTCTGCTCTGAATATTCTTGAATCCCCGCAGTCTGAGGCCAGAATGGAGCTGGCATTGTAGCCCTGCATTTAGAACAGCACAGAGTTTCAGGAACTGCTTGCATAACCAAGTCGTCATTGCATACAGGTGCGGTGCTTGGCACACTTCTCAGGTCTGAGCTTGGCTCCGTGCTGACAGATAAGTTTAACACAGATCAGCAGCAGCCCTGAGCTACTTTTGCAGACTCTGGTTGTGCCTGGTGTTGGAAGCAGTCTTCTCAGGAAGCTCTTTCTCCAGATTTGCAAAAGACGTCGCATTGCCGTGTTGTAGGTGATGGTACCTCATTTGCCCTCGACCAGAGAGTGTTCCCTTTTCTTTAGTCTCCTAAATGCGCAGTGAGCATCTTCTGCGAAAGGCTGAGTTTGTGTGCTGTGTCTTTGAGGTGTGTTGATTCTGGGACGTCATTCTCAGCTCTGTTGTGCTCTGTGTCTCTCCCTGCAGGTTCCCCAGAAGATGGTGTAAAGCCAGCTGGCGCAGCTGCTGCCTGTGATCTCCGTGTGCCCAGACCTCAGGGGAGACCATGGCAGCAGCTCAGGGAGCTGGAAGCAGCTCAGCCGGGCCCCCCGGAGCCCCTGTCTCCATCCCAGGACACAGCAGCTCCACAGCAGTGGCGGTGTGGGAATGGCAGGACGAGTTTGGCCGGTGGCGGCCATACCGAGGAGATGTGTGCAGATTCATTGAGCAGGGTTTCCAGGCCTCTCAGCAGAAGGGACGGCGTTCAGGATCAGGGCTTGTCAGCAGCAGCATCTCTTTGGGACATGCAGATGCTAGCTTGGCCCCCTATGTCATCGACATCCCGAGCCTGACACAGTTCCGGCAGGATACAGGTAAGGGAGCTTCCTTCTCATGCCAGCATTTTTGTAAGCCTGCTTGTGTGCTTAAAGAGAAAGCCCTGCAAAGCTCTGCTGACACTGTTGTCACTTGCCGTGTGCTGCGTCTTCTCTCCTGATGCTGTGTGCCACCCGGCGTGTGAGCAAAGCAGTGTTGGCTGATCAATCTGCAGGGCTGTGCCAGGCACACAGGGCTGAGAAAAGCCTCATCGTGAGACCTCTGGAGCTCAGAGCTTGTGAGCTAGACTCCTCAGAGCTGGAAACTTTCTGCCTGCCCCCCCCCAAGCCCGCACCCATACGAGACCAGTCCACAAAAAGGCCTTTTTGCAATTGAAACCTTCCTGGCTGCATCCCTTGTTCTCTCTGCAACAGGTGTACTGGCTGCTCTATTTTGGCCTGCCATCCTGTGCAAGCTGCTCTGTGAAAGCCTCCTGCCTCTGGCAGAACAATGTAATGCAGCTGCACAAAAGTCTCCCACTGTTGCTGTTCCAGGCTTGCTTGCTCCCTCCCAGGGAGGAAGAGTGGTTTGCTCGTAATTACAGGGCTGAAGTTTAATTTTCGTTCTCATCTTGATTTTCTGAGGTCACTGGGGCTACTGGCTCAGAATGTGCTGATATGGTTCCTGCCCTCTTTTGCTCCAGATGTGCTGAGCAGCTGTAGCTCAGAAAGCAGGGGTGGAGTGTATGCTCTTACCTTCAGAAAATCCAGGGAGATTCTACATTACACAGCCCTAAATGAATGGAAAATTCTTCGTGCATCAGTTTTCCCCCTTGCCAACACCTTACCCCTTGCCACAGGACGCAGTCATGTTGGCATGCTGCCTGAGCCTCACACCAGGCTGCAAAGTTGGGCACTGTGCTGGGTTCCTGCCAGCTGAAGCAAGAAATGAGCACTGTCTTGAATCAGCTGCAACAAGACAATTCCTACAGGAAAGGGAAGTGCTTGGAGTGGTGAATGCTCATCACAGCTGCATCCGTGTTTTATTCTGACTTCATAGTGCTTACCAGTGACCTTGAGATGAGTTTTCCCTAGAAGTGTCTTGAGCACTGGCAGGATTGGCTCAGCATGGCCTGGAAGCTCTGTTGAAGGCTGTGGCTTTAAGCAACACAGCACAGACCACCAGAGCTGGCACCAGCCTTGTTTTTTTCACACTGCACTTGTGCAGGAGCCATGCAGCTGGTGCTCCATCCAGCACCTGGGCAGCAGGTCCTCCCTCACCAGAATGCCATCCGTTGCCAGGACACATCCCAGCTGGGTGAGGTTGAGATCTCAGCCTGTGGAGGTTGATTACCTGTGGGAGGCTGAATGATGTGTCTCAGTGTAACTGGGGCATCCTTCTTCACGTGTGCAGGTGTCTTGTATCTCTTTAGTCTTTTGTGAAAGACCTCAAAGCATCTAGTTACATTGTCCGTGGCAGGATGCTTTGGGTTTAGTCATCTCAGGGAAACAGCACAGTACATTTTTGGAAATGATGCTGGATGACGTGATGTCCTCTTCTTGTGGATGAGGTTTGTGGTGGTCTTTTAGCAACAAAAAGGCTCGTTCTACTTTATAGCTCTCCTGCAGAGTTTCCCACTGATTCGGAGGGATGCTGATCAGAGCAGCCAGGTCTGTGAGCCTCCCTATGTTTGTGTGACTGTTGAGAATGCTCTCATATCCTCTTTTTGTGGCCCACTTCTAAGGAAGACTTTCTCTCTGCAGGGCTTTGCCTTAAACACAAACCTTTCTGAGGAAGCAGCCAGCTGACCTTTGTCATCTGCTGGAGAAAAGAATCTCTGCAGGAAACATCCCCATGAAAAATCTTTAAACAGAGCAAAAAATAGGCTGTTGTATTCTGCTCATTAGCTATTAGACAGACAAATAGCTCTTCAAAGGAAGCCAGGGAGAATAACAGGAAGCCAGCGTTAATGGGACTAGCATCTCTACCAACAGGGAGTGACAGCTGTGCAGGGGGATCTTGTGGGCAGGATTAGCTGCAGGCTTCAGCTGCTGCTTTGGGCAGATTAGCTGGAAGTGAATGTGAGGCAGCAGCAGGAGTTGTCCTCCTGCCACAGCTGTTTGCCCACTCAGGAGACAAATGCCAGCTTCCCTGCCAGCCTGGGGGAAGGGGACCTCTTCCATGAGGCACATGCCTCCTGTTACTGACTCTTAAAATCTCCTCTCACCACTGCAGTTTGGGGATCTTAAAATTGCACGTCACTTGCAAACACTTGAAGTCTTCCCTGTGCTGCTTTTAGCTTCTGACCTGCCACTGGAGCAGGGACTGCCGTGCTGATTTCTTACCTGTGTGTCTTGCTTAGCTTTCCAACACCTTCTTTTACCTGTGCTGGTCTCCTCTCTGCTGGGAGCAGGTTCCCAGCATCCGACTCTAAACGCAGGGCTTCTCTCACCATGTTGATCCCAATCTGATCTCATCCTTCTTCCCTCTGCTCAGATCTTCCCCAGTTGTTGAGAACATAGATTTGTGCACTCAGTCTTTCTAAAACCTGGCAGGAATTGATTGCTGAACGGGAGCAGTCGTTGCTTGGGTATACTCTTGGCTGTGTTCTCTGCTTTCCCATGTCAGACACTGATTTCTGGCTGGGGAAGGTCAGCTTTGTTCTGCTGACACCTTTCACCCTGGCTTTTGCCAGAGCAAGGCTTTATCCCACAGGAGTCTGGTATTTTTGGCTGAGCCGTCCTACAGGGCAGGTATGGAATTTCATAGGCTCTCATGGTCTGGCCACCAAAGCACTCAGGCAGAAACCACCAATGCTGCTCACAAAGAAGCTTAGGAGAGCAGTAGGAGCAGAGATACGACTTCCATGCTGCTGGCAGAGCTGCAGCACAGGCTGCCCTCTGATGCAGGTGGTGTGGAGTCCCACAGAGCCACGAGAACATCCTGGGGCAGTTCTCAGCAGGGCTGAAGTGCAGATACTTGTTTGTTGATGTGCTCTTTCACCTCTTTCCTGGAGTTCAGGGTCAGAGCCCTCAAAACTGCTTTAAAGACTTTGTTTTGTTTTTTTCTCTCTTGGTGCTGTTCTCTGAACTCCTTTGTGTTAACAGTGCTTTACATTCCTGTTCCCCACCACCTGCTTGCATTCCCAGACTTGCCCCAGGGTATTCCCAGCTTCTCTTAATGCAGTGGGCTGCTGAGGTTTTTTCCCACTGCGAGGAGCAGTTCTGGCCCAGCTGCAGGAGCCTGTTTTTGCAGAGGTTTGAGCTTCTGTCCTGTTAGGTGGCTCACTTCCTTCTCAGGAGGTTTTTTGCTTTAAAAAAGCAACTGAGCAAGATCCCCTTGGAGAGCCTGGCTTCTGGGGGGTTTGAGCTCCTGCAGTTGCAGTTCAGGAGCCTTGCAATGACAGCGTGTCTGCTTTCAGTGCTCTTCTTTTATGTGGAGTTCTCTGCAGCTTCTAAATGACTTTGCTGGTTTTCTATGCTCGTCTGGCAGCAGTCAGGAACTGAGAGAAGCTGGGTCTGTCCTTCCTTCTCTGAAGCCCTTGTCCTGCCCTCATGGGACTCCTCTCATGGGAGGAGAGTTGCCCAGGCCTTTGTGCAGCAGAGGGAAGTGGGCCTTCAGCCCCAGCAGCACTTTCTGTAGGTGCTGTCTCTCTATAACTCTGTTGTTGAGGATGTGGGAAGTTTTTACCAGATCTGTGCATCAGCCTGGATTTTATTTATTTAAGTCAGTGAGGCATCTGTGATTGCTGCTCCTTCGCACCTGGGTGTGTTGGTCTCCACATCCTCTCTCCTTCCCACCCTTCTTCCCAGCAGCTTTTGAACTTGTTGCCAGCCCTCAATCAGATTTGGCTGGGGGACAGAGATCTCCAAGGTGTTCTGTTCCTCTGAGCTCTGTGAAAACCACCTTCATTGGGATGAGAAGGTCTACTAGCGCTCTTCGTTAAACACCGCAGATCTGTGTAGAAACGCATCACTGAAGTCCACTTCTCTGATCTCAGAGTGCTTTTTTTTCCCCCTCTTTCCTACCAGGGACGATGCGGGCAGTCCGCAGGCACCTCTTTCCCAGGGACTCAGCAGCCGAGCAGGGCATCGTCTGGGAGTGGCAGAACGACGAACGCGGCTGGTTCCCCTACGAGATGAACGTCTGCGTGTTCCTGGAGCAAGCCCACGCCTCCAGGCACCAGCGGGTGGACCTCGGCCCCTTAGGCTACAACTATGAGGTCGACCTGGTGGCTCAAGTGCAGACCAACAAGACCACGAGGTTCTGCCGCAGCGTTCGGAGGCGGGTGGACAATCCGTACCCCGTGACGGCCGCCCCGGCTCCCCTTCACACGGGGACGGGTTGCTCGTGCCAGCAGTGCTGGCTGAACGGTGGGACTGGCCCCATCACCACGAGGTTCCGGCACTCCGTGACAAACTTCCCCAATTCCTCTGCTGCACCTCAGGTTTCTGGTAGGACGACGTCAGGGAGTTCTTCCGGCGTCGGCTTTGTGCCCTATAACAAACCCGCGTTGTCTGGAGCGAGGTCGACGCCGCGACTCAATGCGCAGAGCAGCTGGGCTTTGCCCCAGGCTGGAGGTGCTGTGGGCCCCAGCACAGGACTGTCCACTTCCAATGGAGTCAGGTACAGACCCCGACTCGCCTTTGAGTGCTGTGTGTGTGCCAGAGACCTGCTGTGCTCAGGTCTCTGTTGTTTAGGAGCCTCTCTTTGCTAAGCTCTTCTCCCTAAAAGGAAGCAGACTTCTGGTGTCTGATGGATAAGGAGGTTTCCTTTCTGCTTTCCCTTGCTTTTTTCCCACTTGAAATTTCATCCCTGTCAGCCAGGAAAGCCACATTGAACCACAGGAAGAAGAGGTCAGGTTGAGATACTGCAAGCATGAGGGAATGTAAGGTGGCATTTTGAGGGAGATAACAGATGAACGCAAAGGAGACTTACAGGCATTCCTTTTTAGTTCAAAATATGCTTCAGTTCTCTTCAAGCCTTGCAGGTGCTGTAGGCTGAATGGAAGGCAGCCTCCTGTGGGCTCCCCATGCTGCCCTCTTCTCTTCTGTGCACAAGCTGCTTAGCCTAGCCACAGTTGGTTATCCCTGGGGCTGAAGCAGGCAGAGTCAATGTCTCCTTCACAAAGTGGAGCACTTTCCTCTGTCTTCTTGCTGGGTTGATCTCTATGATACCCAAACCAAGCAAGATACTCATAGCTTTCACTGCACACAGTATGTTTTCTAAGCTGGTCTTCCATGGCCTGTCTTCTTTCCAAGAGCTGATGATAATACACAGAGCATCTTGCAGCTGCAGTCACTTTGAACTGAGGGTTGTGTAAGGGCTGTTTGACTGCTCCTTCAGTCGTTGTGTAGAGCAGTGTGTATGCTCTGTGCTGTAATCATCTCAAGCATCGCTGTGAGCATCTGAGCAATTAGAGGCAAACTTGCCAGAGTTGCTTTACCTGTCCATGCCAGCCCAGGTAAAGGCATAGATAAGAGATCAGAGGGGCGGAGAAAGTGTACTCTGCTCCATGCAATTAGCAGAGTTTTGAAGTTTGTGTCTTAAGCAGGACTTAAGCCTTTCACACTTGCTGAACCTCTCTCCTTGGAGGTGTTCATAGTCCTTTGACGTTAACTTTCCAAGGGCTCTGTCCTTTCCCCTGACCAGACAGATGAATGCACATGGGGCAGTCTGTCTTCCACTGCAGTTCATTATGTGAAAGGACTTCTTTCAACACCAGCTGACAGCCCAGGATGGCTTTTCCCCTTCCTTCCCATTTGGTGAGTTGGAAATAGTGCAGGGTTGGGGTAATTGCTCTTGGCTGGGGTTATGTTCCCAGGCTCGTGAAGGCCATGTTCCAGCAGAAAATACCCTCATTTCTGCCAATTAAGGGAAACTGGAGTAGCATGGACTAACAATGCGTTTCATTTAATTCCTAAGCCGCAGCATTCCTTAGTTATTGTATCCTGTGTTCCCTGTCTTTCCCCTCAGCTTAGCTCTGTGGATTAGTTCCTCTGCATCACTAGTGAGGCTTTTGAGGTTGCAAGGATGAGGTGCTAATCATGCTGCGCTCCTTGTCCCAGGAAGGGCCTGTGTGTCTCTGGCTGTCTTAGCTGCACCATGCAATTCCTTCTTCAGCTGCTCCCTCCCTGCGGCCGTCACTGCAGCTTGCACAAACATCCACCAGCAAATGGAGCTGTGCTGCCTGTGACAGAGCAGTGTGTGCTGCAGGAAAGGGAGTGGTGGCACTGAGGGATTCTCTGGTGTCTAATAAAGGTTGTGTTGTGTGCACTGCACAGCCTTTTACCCTGAAGCACACACCCCTGGCAGACATTTACAAAGCTTGCAGGGAGTCCAGCTCCTGCTTTGCTGGAGCTGAGCTGTAACTGACAGCTCAAAAGTTACTGGAGACTGAAAGGCAGTGCGGTTATGTACACCCAGTTACATGCACCCAATTCTGTAGGAAATGAAGTGAAAAATGTCAGCCCTGAAGAAATCTCTCTTGTAGGGCTGAGAGAGGTGTAATTAATCCTGAAGAACTGCCCAGTTCTCTGTGTGGCAGTGACAGCTATTCCCATGGACAGGCAGGGCTCACTCCAGTGCAGGTTGGTGGTAGCATGGGCACATTGCACCCTTTTAGTAGCAGTGGCAGGGGAATGTTACCTGCTTGCTGCAGGGATGGAGGTCAGGGTGGACCTTGGGCACTGCATGCTGCAGATTTAATTTCCCCATGCTCTCAAGAGGATCAGAGCTTCTGGAAAACAGAGAGGAGTGTTGGCTGGAGCAAGCCAAGGCATAAGTAGATGTTAATATTCTTGGCTCTGCTGTAATGTATGAAATAAATGTAGGCAGGTTATTTTGCTTCTTCGTGCCTCAGTTTCTTCTCATGCTGTAAATATAGCAAATCCAGCCTCCTTGCAAACTACACTGAGAGCCGCAGATGGAGTGTGCTGTGGCAAGGGCTGTGTGGAGAACAGAAGGCAGCACTGCCTCCAGCAGTTTTCCATCCCTGGGTGAAGCCATGCTGGGAAGCATCCTGTGCTGCAGCCCCAGATCTTCCCATGCGCTCAGGAGGTGCAAGCAGGGAGCATTTAGAGATTTCAGGCGCTGACTTTCAGCTGCTGCAGGCACAGCCTGAGCTTTGGCTCAGAGACGCAGGCAACAGCTGGGAATCTCTGGGCAGCAGAGGTGTGGGAACAGGCGCACCCACTCAGAGGCAAGGCACAATGTGTGTTACACAGCCATAGCAATATCCTTCTTCATTACCCCCTTCCTCCTCCTCCAAAAAAAAACCACCTCAGGCCCAACGTAAGCTCAGAGTTGCGTCTGTGCACCTTTTTTAGCATGGCAGCGCTTCCTCCTACGCACTGCGGCTTCGGATCTGCCCAGGCAGCGTGGTGGCAGAGGCGGCACGGTGTGAATTTCCCTTGGTTTCATCAGCCTCGTGTCTGGGGTTTCTGCAGGTTTCTGCACGTGGCAGCCCTGCCCCTGTGTGCACATGGATAGGTTGGCACGTCCTGCTGGAGGCCGAGTCTGCGTGTTTGTAGTCCGTGTGAAATAAAAACGTAGTTCCTGTGTCATCAGTATAGTTGGCTTAAAGCCTGCCTGCAGTCGGAGCTAACACACTTGGCCTTTACTGTTTGTCTTGAGGGTTCTTCTCACTTCACAAAAGCTCTGGATCCAGGGTTTGACAGGACCTTGCGACACAGGAAAGAAAGGAAAGAATCCTTCTGCCATCTTCCCAAAGTGCTCGTCATCCCCCTCCCAGATCAGCTCTGGCTTTCCTTTCCTTGAATCCTCAGCTCTGCTGTGTTTTTCCTTTCCATGGGGAAGGGGAGATGGAAGCAGCCAGGTTGCTGCAGCACTTTGGGCACAAAGCTGCCTGTTGTCACAGACCAGTGCTGTCACTGACAGCAGTGTCATGGGCTGCTTTCTGCTGGGAGAAGATGGGGGAGCACTGAGAGAGAAAAATAAGCGAGAAGGAACTGTGATGAAGGAGCAAAACTGGGGAAGAAAGAAGTCATGAAGAGGGTCACAGTAACTGACTAGGAGCCCTTTGAAGTTGAAAGGAGGATTTCCACTGTGGTCAGAGAAGTTTGAACTGGGCTGTGGTGAGAACTATTGGTTGCGTCACTTGAAAATGTTGCAACATTAGGGGCAACGGAGGGGAAAACACAGGAAAGGAAGGGAACTTCTGGAGTGTGGAGGACCTTTTAAAGGTCTGGAAACTGCCAACACTACGCTGAGACCCAGGGTTCCCTCAGGGCATCGGAGCACACAGGAACCTGCTGCAAACACAGCAGGCAGGGAAACAGCAAGGTAGGGATGTGTCACTGCTGGATCTTAGCAGGGCTGCAGAGAGGGACTGCTGCCTGTGATGCTGTGTTGAATACAGCAGCAGGTTTTGCATCCCAGCTGGAGAGAACTAGGTTCTCAGAGACAAAAGGTGGCTTTGGGAACTTGATAACAGCCTTCCTAAAGTAGTGGCCAGGTGCAACTGAGGCTGGTTTGGGGAGGTGGTCATCTAAATGCCTTGTGTAGTGACTGCAGCTGCTGCCCGTCAGCTGTTGTGCCCGTGTGCCACCTAAGGCAAAACCCACAGGTGACTTTCTGTGCCAGCATGGTGGGCTTCAAGCTGGGGTCGAGCTTGCTCCTAGCAATCCCTTCAGCTTCTATGCTGCTGCTTTCCTTTCCATCTCCTGCTGAACAACTACCCACATTTCCTAAACTGCTTAAGGTGCCATTGCCAGCACTGAGAAATGCTACCAAAGCAAGCTAGGAATCTAAAAGTGTCCACTGTCTGTTAACCTCTAAACCAGGTGCTAAACTCTTCTCAGCCTCTTTCAGTATTTCTTCTCTTGTTCACGTATTTCATAGTACCCTCAAGGACAGCAGCTGTCAGAACCCTGCTTTATAAAGGGGTGGGCTCCCTAAGTATGGCTGCTGGGCCAGTGGGATTGGTGGGTGGGGGGGTCCCAGGTGAGCCTCACCTGAGTAATTAAAGCCTGTTAAATATCTAGGCTGTGTGCTGCTGTAGCTCAGTTGGCTCTCACTCACCTGTTGATTTGCACTGTTACATTTTTCTCTTTCTTGTTCTCTATAGTGCTCTAAATCTTCCTGTCAAGATGTCCAAGCCCAGCAAGCTGAACCAAGCCTTGGCAGGTAACAATCTTGTTTTGCTTTATCTGCTTTGTTCTTAAGGTTATGTGAGCGACTGCTTCCTCTGGCACCTACTTTTCCTTTTAGCCCTTAAGGAAACTGGTTTGTGTTTAGTAGTGAAAAAGTTCTAGTCCAAAAACCCAAACAGCAGAAAGAACAGACTTGAGAGAGAACAGGTTGGACCTTAGCAGTTGCTTTCTCTCAGTAGAGCTTGTTGTAAGGCTTTGTTCCCCTCTAGCTGAGGTGAGGGTTTGATGTTGGTTAGTATGGATCAGTGCTTTGCTAATGTAAGAGCAGGATGCTAGCTGGTGTGCAGTCAGTCTTGGGGTGGGAGAGATGAGCTCTGCTTCTGAATTGTAGTTTAGAGGCAGGCTATGAGCTATCAGGACGAGTGGGTGTATTTAGAGGTTGGGTGCTAATTTTCCAGCTATGGGAACCTGGGCCAGGCTGTGTGCTGCTGGCAGCTGCTGCTTGTTTTTTTTCTCCTTGTTCCTTCCTTCGAGGAGGAAGGCTGTAGTGCAGACTTCTGTATGAAATTATTTTCTGTGGTTTTATTACAAAAGCTCAGGCCCTTTGCTTAAAAAGGGTTGTAATGCATTTCCATAAGGAAAGGAAGAAACAGAAGTTAAATCAGTTGCTGTCTCCTGTGGCAACACAATGCAGGCTGGCTAGTTATCGTTGAAACCTGTGAATCTGATCCTAAATATACCCAAGAAGTGCATCTGAGAAGGAGGAAAGTGCCAGTTTTCAAAGCTGCTTTTCAGAGTAGATTTGCCTGTGAAACATGAAATGGCGTTGCCTTGAAAATGGCAGCTCTATAGCTTTCAGCAAGTGCTTGAAATCTGAGTGCTAGAACTTGATGGTGGTGTTCTGCCTTGGTTGGCTGCAGCTGTGACAGTGCGTGCTGGGAGTGCAGGTTTTGCCCTGGTGATCCCCTAGCACTGATGTTTCTGGTCATCCAGTTTTAATGCTATGGCAAGGATTGTGCCTTGTAGATGTCCAGAGCCAAAGGGCACCACATAAAGTTGAATGCAGGGCTGCTGAAGCATGTAGCCCCTCCAGCTCCCTGTTAACAGATCAGGCTTTGTAGAAATGAGGTGTAGAGCAGAGCTCCCACTCTGTCTGGGAGGATGACCTGTGAGCGGGGCTCACTGCGAGAGCTTTGAGTTTCATCCCCTGGCTATTAGCACTGACTGTAATTAGTTACTTAATCACATAAGGGTAAATGCAGCAAAGGGCTGACAAACCCTGCTGAATCCAGGCTGTTAATAGTGTTAACTGTGACCTTGTTCTACATATGCAAGTTGTCCCCTGTTAATTTGAAAGGTCTCCAGATCCCTGGGAGGCCGTGATTAGGAGGTCTGAGTGGCTGCAGGGTGGTGTAGGCTGGGCTGAGTGGTCACTGCAGAAGCAGCCAAGGGCAAGCATCTCCTTTGGGTCCTCTGTCTCTGCAGCCCATGGCTGTGATCAGACCTGGGATGCTCTGAGGGGGCAGGGAGGGGAGAAATCTGAAGTTCTGAATCAGCAGCTAATGGGGGATCCTGCTGCTGTTAGTGAGAAGGTGGGCTTTGGTGGTGTGATGAATGCCTGGGATCTTAGTGAGGAATTCATAACACTGCAGCTCCACAGCTCCAGGAATCATGAAGCTGACTTTGAGACCCTGTTCTGTTTTTTCTTACTTTCTGCTACTTTAATATTTTGAGGTATGGAAAATCTGTCATTTAATCTATCTTTCCACTCTTGGTATTTGGTTAGTACAGAGAAATGCCTAAATATCAGTCTCAGCAAACTGTTCAAGCACAGTGTTTGAGCTGTGACTGGTTGGGTGTGCTGGGTTGGGAGTGAGTAAGCAGCTGGTTGGTGCTCTGTGCGTTACGTAAGGGTGTTTTCCCCATGCTAATATTCTGCACAAGGTATTACAAAAGTGCCTTATTTACATGGGAGGCTGAGAAGAGCTGGTGGATGTTGTCAGCAAAAATAGCTTTACCCCTTGGAGTTGTAACATAGTGCTTGTGGCCACGTAGATGCTTTGAGCAAGAGAAAAGAGGGGAGGGAGTGTGTGCTTCTTGCACATACACACACTTGGCATGTACACGTTTCCACATGAGGCTGGGATCACTTGCTGGTTGCTCTTGTGGGAGGATTGTTGGATGCTGAGACTTCCAGCCTTGTATCAGCACTCCGAAGGAGGAACCGTTCTGGTGTTTGAGATAAGCCAAAAGAACAACACAGCACAGGAGCAAACCCATTCTGAATGCTCTCTTGGTTTGCATCTGTAGGAAGAGAGGATTCATCGCGCGTCTCTGTGAGGGCAGCAGAAGGTAGAAATGGAAAACAATCTTTTCTTGCCAATTCAAGGTTGTCTATGGGGAGAGCACTGAACTGGGGGCAGCTCCCCTTGTCCCATGCTTAGCCTGTGCTCTGTGCATGTGGACCTGCTGTTGCCTTTGCAACTGGTGAAATGAGTTCCTGGAATAAGTACTTAGTTGCTTTGCAATGATTCACAATGCTGGTAGGCAACTTTGGGTAAGTTGTTCAAGGTGCTGGAATGGCCATGTTAGTGGGTAACCGAGCTTAGGTGGGATTCTGTGTCTTGTTCTTCACTTTCTGACATGGAGTCTGAAGTCAGTTTCCCAGCCTCTGCTTTCATCTTGTTCTCTTTTTTCTTTTGCAGCAGATTCTGCATGTTAGTTAGCAAACTGGCATTGATCTCCTCAACGGAGCATTAATTTTGCATTTGCATATCAGTCAGATGTGTGTGGGTGGTGACAATCCCTGCTGGTCTTTGGACTTCTCACCAAATGTCAGCCTCTGCAATCAGTGTAATCACAACGCTGAGAAATGAGCATTTGAGACAGCCTAACCACTTCCCTCCTTTGCATTAGGCTGGGAAATGGCATTTCATGGCTCTGGTGGGGTCAGGCAGTTTGAGATTCACAGCCTCAGAGACCCAATACCTACCTGCGGGCAGGTGGCAGCTCTGCAGCTGCTGGGCTTCAGCTACTCAGCTTTGCTCATTGCCTCCAAAAGCAAGTAGCTTTTGTTAGGGGAGTGCTTGAGCTGTTTTCAAAGCATCCCAGAGGCTGCAGGACTGCTGGTGTAGCGTGGGGCTGGGAGCACGCAGCATTCTGTGACTTGCAGGAAGCCGTGGCATCTGTGGATGTGATGTTCAGTCAGTGTTTATGCTGCTCCCTTGATGCTCATGCTGAGAACAGCCCGATGCTGGCAGTGGGGTGAGGTCACTGACTTGGTGCCACTGTGCTGTAAAGATCCTCTCTGTCCCTGCAGCTCCTGGGTGTGGGAGGGGGGTTATGTAAAGCTGGCTCAGCAAAGGCAGCGCCTAACAGGGTTTCTGGCTTGGGATTACCTGTGTGCTGGGGGATATATAGTGCATGGGGCAGCCTGGCCCTTCCTTGGGCAGTCCTGTGCAAATGGCTGTGTCTCGTATCCCGTCTTGTGAAATGCTTTCTGTCTAAAAGTCTTTGGTCCTTATGTGCTGTTTAGTAAAAGCATCTAACTCTTGCATCGTGGAAGACTTAACAGCGTGTGGAATGTGTACTGCACTTGGACCTTATGTGAAGCTGGTACAGAACATGGCTGGGGCTGCATGGGGACTGGTTCTGCTTGTGGGGCATTTACATGGGCTTTGTGCAGGGGATTTCTGTTGTGCTGCAGGCAGGAAGTAGCCTTACTGCTTGTGCTTGTTTCCATTGTAACTCCATTTTCAGTGCTGTGTGGGCTGGTACCTTATTTTGTCCTGAGTGATGCATTTGCTTTTCTGTCTTCCCAACTCAGTTGAATATGGGCTTGAAAAACAAAAGCCTTGGTAACTTCAGCTTTGGCCATGAGCTCTGCACAGACCTGGGGATGCTGGCAAGCATTTCCTTCGCATTAGGATGTGGTTCAGCACAGACAGCTTCTGGGGAAGTGCTGGCTTTGGGTTGTCTGCTGTGTCTGCAGCCATCAATGGCTTTTGACTGTGGCAGGGGGAATTCTCTTCTTGAGAACGCCATGCAGGTGTATGGAATGTGAGTTTTAAAGCAGTGTGTCACTTTAGGAATGTTCTGCCTTCAACAGGCTTGAATTTCCCAGGCAAACGTCATACTCCATCAGTAGGGTCAGTCCTGTGGCTCTGTGCGTGCTGCTCTTATCTTCAGGGGTTGGCTCTCCTTGTGAATGAGTCACTGCCTTAATAATCTGTGTGCAGTGAACGCAGCAGTCCTGGTGCTGGCTGGGGCAGGGAGGGTGAGCAGTCTCAGGCTCAGAGTGTTTGAACAGGGCAGCTCTGTCTGTGCTCAGCCCAAGCTGCTCAGGCAACACCAGGCCCCCCAGGGTCAGCGTTGCCTCCAGGGCTTTGCATTAAGCAGGCTCAGAATGCCTGAGAGCCCTAAAGCCACAGCAGAGAGGAAGGTCCTGTTCAACCCCAGCCTGGAGAATGCCCCCATCTCCCTACTTTTGTTTGCTGCCCAGGTTCTTCCTTCTGAAGGCCTCTGGATCCTGTCTTTGTGCTGACTCCAATCCTGCTTCCTGCCAGGTGTTTTATGTTCAATGAATCAAGGGCCTGGGTTTGGTTTTGTTCTATTTTTTTTTTAATTTTCTTTGAAAGTGTGAAGGTTTTTTTTTTTTTTAATGAATGTGTCTCCCCGTTGTTTCCCTCCTGCATGTGGATCTCGTACCTGCTGTAGGCATGACGGCTATTCTGATGTCAGCTGCTGGACTCCCCGTGCACCTCACCTGTGTGCCGCAAGCTGCCAGCACCCATAAAGCCACTAAAAAACACAGCTCAGTTAAGGAGGGGAGGAAAGTGTCCAAGAAAGGTAGTTCCTGCTCAAACTGATATCTGCTTCCATCTCCTCCTCTTTATCTCTCTGCACTTGTTCTACCTCCCTCTTTTCCTCTTGTCTCTCCCCTGAACCCTGTTGGCTCTCTTGGTTTGGCTCGTGATGCTCATCCTGCCAAGGATGAAGCGGTGTGTGTGGGCTCTGACAGGCTGCACAACAAGGTGAGAAGGCAAACCCCGCTCAATGGAAGCACTGCTTGTTTCCATCAGTCATGAGATCTGGAGCAGCGCAGTTGTTCTCTGTGCATGACTGATTTCTGCAGGTTCCCTGAACCCTTGGGGTCTGGCACTTTTCCAGGTGCTGTCTCAGGGAAGGTCTCCTTGTGAGCTGTGCCCATGGCTGAGTCATAAGGTGAGGAGGATCCTGCAGCCAAGCGGGTTTCTGAGTCATGTAGGGCATTCAGGGCCAAACTGGGATGGGTTTTTCTCCGCTCCTGTCTGAGATGGAAGGTAGTAGAACCCTCTCTGGTGGCTGTGTGGTGGCAAGTAGGGCTGGGTCACTCCCTGCTGAGATGAGCCCCCAGGGCTTGGCTCCTGCCCTGCAGTGCTGCTGGCATCCTGCACCCTACAGCTGTAGGTATCTGCTGTGGAGTGTGGTTCCCATGGTGTGTGATTTCCATGGAACTGCTGGAGTGAGTGTCATAAAATTTCCTAATTTGAAAGAGACCCATGAGGATCATCATGTCCTGGGGTGGGCAGCCAGCTTCTCACTGCAGATAAGCAGAGGGAGCTGCAGGCTCCACAGCTCTGCCTGACATGGGTGCCCAGCATGGACGTGTCTGCATTCAGGAGCAGGAAGAACCTCGTGGCAGTGGAAGGGAGGCACCTGGCTGTGTTGGAGCTTGCTGGTGTTTGGTTCTGAGAGCCAGCACGTGCAGTGAGAGAGCTCAGCAGGAGATGCAGGCAAGCCCCCTCCGAAGGGGGACACTAAACAGACATTTAATGTGGAAGGAGATGCCTTGCAGAACTGCGTTATGTACAGAACTGGGGGAAGGAGATGGAAATGGTAGTGATGAGAGACGCTACATGTGGAGTAGGATGTGTGGGAGGGGGAGGAGAAAGCAGGGGGAAAAGTGGCGAAGAGCAGGGGATGTGAACATGAGAGCTGGAGGAGAACTGAGCAGAGGCAGAGCTGGAGGGACTGGTGCAGCATTCCTGAGCCCTTGCCCTGTGCTGCACCCCAGGTGCTGTGCAGCAGTGGGCTGATGATGGTTAGTGCTGCAGAGCTGTTGTACGCTGCAGTGATGTGTGGCAGCATTGCTGGTCTTCCCACGTTCCCTCTCGGAGGGGTGGCTGCAGTGCTGTGAGACGTCCCACCGCTGCCCTGCCGCTGCAGCAGCGCGCCTTTCTCCATCAGTGTAGGTGCAGCACCCAGCAGCACTCGCATGTTGCCTGCTGGGGCTGTTTCTTCCCACCCTGACTGACAGTTGGGCAGGGGCTGCTGAGTGCTGCCTTCAGGCAGCCAGGCTCCTGCTTGCCTTGGGTCTTGCACTGTGGGTATGGCACAGGGTAGCTGTGGGAGCTGTGCCCGGTGCTGCTCTGGAGAACTGTGACTGCCAGCTGCCTGCTGTGGCTCAGCAATGCCACCTGGTGGGACCAGGGAACCTCCAGCCTGAGGGGCAGAGAGGGGATGTGAGCAGAAGGAGCTGTGTCTGTGACATGAGCACAGTACGGCTCCTTCCGTCTGGCATAGCAGGATTCAGTCCAACCATTTTGCTCAGGATGTGCTGCAGAGGAGATGCTTTGCCAGCTCTGCTGCTTCCAGTGCTCATCCAGGGGAAGGGGGTGCCCCTCTCTGTTCCAAAACAAGATGTAGTAAGCTAGCAAGAGGATGTCCTTTGCTGGGGGCAGGGAGGCTGTACCTGCGGAGTGCCGAGCACGTGACTGCTGCACGAGGAGGGTCTTGGTGCCCCCAGGAGCAAGCTGTACCTGTGCAGCACTCCTGATGGCCAAGGAGTGCTGTCCTGTAGTGACAGTAATGAGCTTGAGTTTGTCAGACTGTTCTGGTTCTCTTTCTTATAAACCCTGAAGCTATAATAGGCAGACACAGGTCCATTTTGTGCCCTGAATTTCTGCGTCTCCACACCTCTTCAGATTTTTCTGTCCCTAAGAGCTCCAGCAGGAGCTGTGCATCCAGGTGCAGGCACATCAGTGTGAGTGCCAGCAACTGGTACGAAAACAGATGGTGGTGGGTGCAGTGTGCTCCTGCTGAGTCCTTCTTGCTGCCTCCTGCAAGCTCCAGTCCTTCCTCTTGGGTGCAGCAGAAACATGGCAGCATTTACCCTGCTGGCACTACAGCATTTACCCTTTGCTGTGGCACTGTCCCGAATCTCCAAGTTAGCTCTGCTACAAGAGAGTGCCCTAAAGGGCTCTGTGCTTTGGCCTCACAACCCTGCTGGGGTGCTTTGAAAAATGCCTTAACATTGAACCTGTACCTGCACACTGATCTGGGTAAGGTGGTGTAGACAGAACTGCATCCAACTTTCTGGGAAGCTGGGTTATGCTCAACAAAGGCACTAATTAGTCAGGACTTGTTAATGGTGTTGCTATTTGGCAGTGATGTCTCTGGCACAGGCCAACACTGTGCTGCATGTCTGGGGGAAGCCCACTGCTGGGCAGGCACTGTGCTGCCAGCTGCCTGCAGCTCCCAGCCACGGGTGTTGGGTGACTGTGCAGGGCATTTGCTGGAAACAGCCTGTCTGAACCTGTGTGCTGCTCACTGCATGGCTCTCCTGGGGACAGGAGGGAGGTGTCACTGCTGCAAGCGGTTGCTGAGTGAGGATTCAAAACACATCTGTGAAATGTTGCCTTTGGAAAGCCCTGCTTCAGCAGGTGGCTTATTATCTACGGGGAGGAAGGGGAAGCATTTAGGAAAGTCATTATTCCTTTTGGTAAATGAAAGGATGGTAAACATTCCTTCACATCCTGGATAGATCAGTAGCACAGCATTAGACCAGCTGGTGGTAAAATTTCAATAAGCATTGAAAATGCAATAGCAGAATTGACCAGTCCTCTATTAATCTTGAAAACCATGGAGCCTAAGCAGGCTTTGATCCCAGGGGATGGCTAGAACAAAAGCTTGGAAGCACATGCTTCCACAGAGCAAATGGTGCAGTACGTGAGTGATTCCGGTGCGGAAATGTGGCTCGTGCCACAGCTACTGGTTGGGCAGGCTGCTGCTCTGCTCTGGGACGTGGCAAGGTGAATAGCTGCTAAATCTGTCATGCAGGTGAGCTGAGGTGTGGGACCAGGTGCTGGGCAGGCACTGCTGCTGGTTAGACACGTGCTCTGCTTGTTTCCCTTGTTGTCTGTACCACCTTGTCCATGCATCTTCTTGGCGTTGCTCTCTCCAGCCTGTAGCTAGAGGAAATCAGAAGGTAGGTCACCTTGAAGAGACCCCTGAAAACCAGCTAAGATAGAGGAGGACTTGTGATCAGTCTTGTGGGCAGCGTGGGACCCTCAGGAATGCAAACACAGTCACTGTGATCAGTACTTCAGGAAGAGGATGGACTCACGGTGGGTAGCAGCCTGCTCTGTGTGCATGTGCTCTCCAAAACTTGCAGAGCAGAAGCTGAAGCCTCCTGCTGTTCTGTGACCATCTCTTGCAGTTACCAACCAGAGCCTGCATCCAGCTGCCACACGTGAGCAGTGCCACGCTGTGTTTGCCAGCTGGAGCAGGGACATCACAGAGCACCCTGCTGGGGCAGCTTTGGCCACAGGAGGTGGTGGGCTGAGCTGAGGATGAGCAGAGGCAGTTCAGGCAGACGGCATCCCTGTGCCACTATTTCTGGCTGGCATTTTATCTTGATCCACTGCATGTGAGCAGGGTCCCAGCACAGTGGACAACACAACAGTGTTCCCCATGAGGTCAGGATGAAGCCTTGAGGCAGCTTCTGGCTTTGCTGAGCTCTTATCCTGAGTGCTGGAAGGTGGAGGCTTTCTCAGGCTCCTGTTTGTTTCCTGCTCTTCTTGTGGCTGCCATTGGAAATGCTTTTCCAAGGAATTTTGGCATGCTCCTGAAGTGGAAAACTGCTGTTTCCAAGTTCCTGTGTTTGACTTAATGCTCAGTGTGTCATGTTAGCACCTTCCTGGCTGAGGGGCTCCAGGGCAGTAAACTCTCAGCCCTACTCTGCCTGAGCCATCACGCATCTCCTGCCTGGCTCAGAGGAGCATCCTCTCACACCACAGACTTGTTGTGCTTTTTGTGCTCAGTCGTACCTTCCTGCTGCTCACGCTGCCAGATGCCAAGTGTTTCAGAATGGCCAGGAATCCCCATCTTAAAATAACTTGTCTTAATGGCTGTGCCTTCGTCTCAGAGAGCCTAGCACCCAGTTCATCCATCTTCCCTAGTGAAATGACTTTCCACCCACGTTTGCTCATTGCCTCATCTCTTGCATTGCCCTGGATCTAGCTCTGCAGTGAAGAGGTGCATTCTTCCTGTCTGCATCTTGCCCTTCTCTGCCATGGCATTCAGAGGAATCAGTCTCCTGCCTGATCCAGGTCTGTGCCAACTCACAGATCTCTGCCAGTTTCATGCTGGCTTTGGCAGGTGAGCAGTCCTTCCTGTTTGCTTCACGTGTTTGGCTCTACCATGAGAAGTGGTTATCTGGAAAACAGAACCCACTGTTCATTGAGGGAGTGTTGGAGTACAGCTTTCTTGCAAGGCCCAGGGTAACAGCACTGGTGCTTGTGGCTGTCCAACCCCTGTCAGAATTTGTCTGCCCCAGGGCAGAGGAGAGCAGCCCTCACTGGTGCATCTCATCCTTCATCTTCCCAGAAGCAGGCTTGGAGCAGAGCAGGAAGGGTGAGGAGCCCCCTGTGCCAAGTAACAGGTCTCACTTGGCCTCCTGCTGGCTGCAGCCGTTGTACAAATGCTTAGTACAAGCATCATTTGTACAAATGTTTCCTCTTGCAGGCTGGTGGAGGAGCCTGGCTGCCTCTGCGATGGGCCTGATGATGGGTAAGGAGCTCCAGCTGGGTGCAGTGCTCACTGGCTGGATCCAGGCCTGGCCAGGCAGTGCAGTTCCCAGCAAGGGATTGGCTGGGAGCTGAGTGATGGCTGATGCTGTTGGCCCAGACCAGACCAGGGTCTTGTGTGATGTCTGGTGCTTAATCCTGTAACACTTCAGAGGGGAGGGGGGGCATGTGCTTGCCGTGCTTTGGTAAGCAAACTCCTCCCTTGGCAGAAGGGGGTTATGCTCAGGGAAATGTCAATGTCTTGTACTGCAAATAGGGCACCTGTTATAAAACTCTTCTGTGTATCTTTTGACTTGTGTTGTGTTCTACTAGATTTGAGTGTGTAAAAGCTCAAGAGAAAAGACACTGTTGTGTGTTAAGGATGCAAGGCTAATTCTGCTGTACTCAAGATAAGGTCTGCTGCTCAGTATATGGCTGGGTTTCTCCTGAAGTGGCCAGCTGCAGGGTTTGGCAGTGTCTTACTCCTGGTATGGGAAGGTTCCTTGTCAGCTGAGTGGTGTGGGAATGCCTTTTCTCCTCTAATAGCTTGTGACAGAATTCTTTCCCACTGAGTCTGCTATGTCCTTGAGTTGAGTTGGAGTTCAGCTGGGGCTGTCTGACATTACTTGGGATACAGAAGGGCACCCAGAGCACAGCAGCTGCAGGTGGTTCCCCAAAGTGTGCTGCACAGGGTGCAAGCATCCACTGCTACATGGCATTTCCCATCCTCTTAATGGGAAACCTGTGAGCACACAGAGGTTTGTGCTTGTGGATTCTCCCATCTGCAGCACTCAGTCCCAGCTCCAGCTGTTCCTGGCAGGGGGAACTTTTGGAGGGCTTCTGTGGATTGGCTGGAGCAGCCTTTTCTGTCCTTTCTAACCCATACCTTTCTCGTTGGCATGCTGGCCAGTTACTGTCACCTTGCAGTGCCTGTATACCTCATGGTATATCTGATGTCTTTCTCCTCTCTTGTGCAGCAGCACCAACTGACCCAGAAGCAGTGGTGAAGAAGTACCTGGTGGAGGTGAAGGGCACTCCTGCAGATGAGGTGAGGAGTTGTGGGGATGTACACGAGCTGTCCAGCTGCTCCATAAGGTGCTGCATGGTGGCCTTCTCCTTGCTGTCTTGTTCTCCAGGACTGTATCATCTGCATGGAGAAGCTGGCCTCTCCTTCAGGTTACAGCGACGCTTGTGAATGCAGAACAATCAAGGCAGAGATGGTCGGTCGCCTGACGAACTGCCAGCACTCCTTCCACATGCTCTGTGTGCTGGCCATGTACTCCAATGGAAACAAGGTACTGAGCCAGTCCATCCCCACCAGGTCCCGTGTGCCTTGTGTCTGGGCGATGCACTGCACAGCTCTGACACCTGCTTCTCTCCCCACAGGATGGCAGCTTGCAGTGCCCCTCCTGTAAGACCATCTATGGAGAGAAAACTGGCACTCAACCCAAAGGCAAAATGGAGGTCTCCACTTTCCCTCAATCCCTCCCTGGCCACAGGGACTGTGGGACAATCCAGATTGTGTACCACATCAGCAGAGGCATTCAGGTGAGCATAGCTTGCTCCTGGCAACAGCTGCAGCCTGCTGGCTGAAGCTGTGAGGGCCCCTCCCTCCCACAAAAGCACAGGGCACCAACGTGCTGCCTGCAGGCAGCCCATTGCTGAGCAGCTGCCAAAGATGCCATTCTTCTGAGGGTTTCCTCAGGCCATGTGGAAAAGCTGTGGTATGGGATTTTCTGCCACCAGAACTCACTTAATCTGAAGAGCTGGCTTTACCTGTATCCCAGCTGAGGTGCCTCCTGGAGGACCCATGATGTAGCACGTCCCATAGGAACCTGTCAGATACCTCCTACAATTAGCAGTGCTCTGCTGCTTTCACGTGGAGAGCTGCCTTGATATAGGACTGCCAGATCCTCGTGCTTACCCCAATTTTGCTGCTCTCTGAGGATGAAAGTGCCAAATATGTCTTCTCTGTTGCAGGGCCCTGAGCACCCCAACCCAGGGATGCCTTACACAGCAAGGGGATTTCCTCGCTATTGCTACCTACCAGACAATGAGAAAGGCAGAAAGGTAAGGTGTTGTGTGATGGGTTTTCCTACTGGGGCACCAGATAAGTGGCAGGGGGATACACCAGTGGTTGGAAGGGATCTTGTTTCCTTGGTTTCCTGCTACAGCAGGGATTTAGGCTGTTAAGCTTCTGGCAGGCAGCTTTCATGGCTTTAGCTGCTGAAGGACAGTTCTGACTTTCTTCCTTCCTATCTTTCCCCACCCAGGTCCTGGAGCTCCTGAAAGTGGCCTGGAACAGGCGCTTGATTTTCACAGTGGGCACCTCCAGCACCACTGGTGAGAGCAACACGGTGGTATGGAATGAGATCCACCACAAAACAGAGATGGACACAAACCTGAGTGGCCACGGCTACCCTGACCCCAACTACCTGGACAATGTGCTGGCAGAGCTGGCTGCCCAGGGCGTCACCGAGGACTGCCTCAGAAAATGAGTGGTGTTGAGGGGCTCAGCTGGGCTGTGCACATCTCTGTGGCCCCCTGCCCAGGGGCCCACCCAGTGCACTTAATCGTGTTGCCTTAAGTTCCTGTGTCTAACCATCTGTCACCCTAAGCAATAATTCTGTCATGTGGGAGTGCTGTGTACTCTGTACAGTCTTTTTTTTTTTTTTTCCTGGAGGGAAGCTATTTTTGTAGAAAACGTGACTGTATGTCCAGGTAGGGTTGGTGTCTGCAGCTGGGAGAGTGGTGGCGAGGTGACAGGGCCCCTTGTGAAGGCAGGACCCCAGTCCCGGTGCTGTCTGGGGTGACAGGAGCATCTCTCTTCCGTAAGAGCACTTTGGAAAGAGGAGGGTCTCCCTCCTTCTCATTGCAGTTCTTCTGAGCAAAGCCTCCTGCCCCTGTAGCAGATACCTGTATCTCTTGGTTGTAATAAACACTTCATTTCCATGGAGAGCTGCTGCTTTGCCTTCATCCTGTGTGGTGGCTCAGGATTCCCCCTCTGAGGGACCGGTCTGCTCTGTGGAGCTGGGGTCACTTGATCCAGCCAGGAGAAGGGAGGGGAAGCTCAGCTCTGCTGGAGGACCCCGGCTCTCTGCAGGGGCAGGATGCCATGTGCTGAGCCCGGGAGCTTGGCTTGCTGTTTCACCCCTACCTCCCCCCCTCCTGGCAGCAGCAGCAGCAGTTGTGGAGCTGTGCTTGTCCCTGTGGACAGCTGCTGGGGTTTTGTGCCTGATGCAGCTCTGTGCTGTTGGCATGGGGTGGTGCTGCAGGGAGTGCTGGTGCCACCGGGTGGTGACAGGCCCTCTGCTTCCCTCATCCCTCTTGCTGCTGTGATGCTCCTCTCTATGCAGCCTCCCTCTGTCATGCCCATACGAAGATGGAAGGATTTTTGGAGACATTAAGGGCTGGGGGCTTGTACCCAGTGTCCTTTTTGTCCTTGCACCCTTTGCTTAGCCCTCTGAGCATCAGTTACCACCCTCTGCTACACACAGGCTTTTTGGAGAGAATGATTGCTGGCTTTGTTTGGGGATGCTGCCAAAGCAGGATGCTCTTTTGAGCTGGCTGTGGTTTGCAGGGCTTTGTGGAAAGATGATGTTGTTCTGCTCTGTTTGCCAAAGGGAGGTTTCTAGTTTACAGCTCTGCTTTCTATCCCCTGCTGATGTCCCAGGGAGCAAAGCAGAGGGCTGAAGTGAAAATTCTCAACACGAAGCAAGGATTTCCTGCTGCAGGTAGTTGGAGCCAGCCCTCGAGTGAGCGCTCCTGTTCGTCAGGCAGCTGCAGCCTCCCCACCTGGCGGCTGTGTGGGGCTGGGTGCTGCGTTGTCAGCCTGACTCACATGGTGTCACCCACTGAGCACTGAAGGCACGGCTCTGGAGCATCTCCAACAGCAGCTGCTGCTGTGCCTGGGTTTCTCCAGCTCCTCCCTCCCAGCACAGGGAAACTGACTGCAGCTGTGCCTGGTTTTTCCCCTCCCCAGCTGGTCTGTGTAATCCATGGATGTCCAACCTGTTGGCTTGCCTGGGCTGTGTTGAGTGAAGAAAAATTCCTCTGGGCCTCATACAAAATATATGATTGAGTTAACGTATGTAAGTAACAAAACTTATTTTTGTATATATATATATATATTAATTAAAATGTAAAAAACCAGCGACAAAACCATAAAGTTAGCAGGCTGACTGCCCTTGTTTCCACGAAACTCGTGCATTGATGTGTGGTTCAGGGGAAGTGGTTGCAATTCTCATCGGGCTCTCAAGGCATTTGTCAGAGAGTTTTGATGAAGTACTGCTCCTCATGTCCTTCACCTTTGAAAACAGCTGTTCACAGATGTACCCAGCTCTCCGGTCTGTCCAGGTCTCTGCAATGAGCAGCTCCTCCCATTTCACTATCAGCAGGAAGCTCGCACAGAACGCCTTGTAGTCCCAGTGCAGGGAGGCTGGCTGCAGCCAGGTTTTCCCCTCCCCAGCAGGGCTGTAATCTCTGGATGCCCCATTTCCACTTAATCTGAAGGAGAAGTCAGAAATCCTCTCGTGTAGAGGAGTGGCAGCCCCAGCCCTTGGCAAACAGTGCAGAGAGCACTCAGCCCTGCTGCTGGGGTGGCCCTGAGCCTTGGCACAGCTCCTGCCCGGGGGCAGCATTATCTGCATCCCCATGTCAAGGGTTGGGGGGGAGGGAAAGTGGGGGGGGGGTGGTGAGGAAATTCTTACTGGGTGAAGAAAGGAGAAGGAAGCCTAGCCCCGAAACCCACAAGGGGCAAGAATTGGGAGATGGCAGCTTGGCTGCCACCCCACCCTATGTACTGGGTGGGACCAGTCACTCTTCAGCACTTTGGTTTTGGGTGAGTTTGGGGTGTGATGGCTCCAGGCACTTCCCTGCCTTCAGGGCAATGCTGGCTGCACCCACAATCTGGCTCTGTGTGCCAGGGGGTCATGGGGCACTTCTGGCTTTCAGGCAGTACTGCAGTGAATGGGGTGGAAGGGCACTCACCCTATTTCCCCCACAGCCCTAACAAGGCTTCCCAGTCCTGCCAATGGGTCCTTCAAATGCAGCTCCAGTATCACCTCTGTGCCTCAGTTTCCCCTTTTGCATCATACAGCAGTGGCTGCATCCTTGGTGTCCTGTGACTGGGGTCAAAAAGCTCAGGGCTGTTTTTGGGACTTGCGGTGACCTGGGAGGAGCCCTGTCCCTCTCTGCCCGCAGGGTCCTGCTGTGCTGGTGGAGCCAGTGCAGGAATGTGGGGCTGGGAGGGCCGTGCTTGGTGGGGGCACGGGGGCAGCTCGGCCCCTCAGCAGTGGGACGGAGCGGGTCGGTGCAGAACGGACACTGCCATGGAGCTGCTGAGGGTGCTGCTGGCGCTGGCTGGGATGGACGCAGCTGCTGGCCTGGGTGAATCTGGGGGGCTGTGAGGGGCTTCCTGTGGGTAGCGGTGCTGGGGAGGGGTTTAAGGGGCTGTGTGTGGCTGGGGGGCCTCCCACTCACTGCTGTGATCCCAGCCCTGTTGCTTTACGTGCCCCGCTTGGCCCCTGATGCCATGCCAGGGAAGGTGACGGCCACCACCTTTGTGCTGGAGAGACCCCGCTGCATCTTTGACCCCCTTGCCAATGCCTCCGATGCCGTCTGGCTGGCAGTGGCTTTCGCTGATGGTGAGCACGTGTTGCAGTGGGGGGCATTGGGAGTGTTCACCCCCGACTGCTCACCCATCTGTGCCGCGCAGCCTCCACCGCCTTCAAAAACCCCACATCCAGAGCTGAGGTGCCCCCATATGAGGGGCTGCCCAGCGCCCGTGCCTACATGACACTGGAGATGGCAGCGGCCGCCTATGGATGCTCAGCTCCCGGTGCAGCTGTGCTGCGGGTCGGCGGGGACACGGCGTGCCATGGTGGGGCACCATGCAATGGGCCACTGCCCTCCCCGGGGCCCTACAGGTGAGGTTGTGGGATGGGACATGGCACTGTCCCCCATACCGGTGCCAGAGGTGCCCATCCTGCAGGGTGAAGTTCCTGCTGATGGGCTGCAGCGGCCCCAAAGCGGAGACGAAGTGGTCCGACCCCATCCTCCTGCGGAGAGGTACCCCACCACCCCAAAACCAAAGGGGAGAAGAGCTCCCCAATGTCCCTGTGCCACCCTAACCCCGGGTGCCACCCCTCACCCCATGCCTTTCCAGCTCGCAGCCTGAGCACCATTGACCCCACACCAGCACGTCGCAGCAGCACTGCGGTCATCATCGCCGCCATCCTGGCCAGCCTGGGTGCCGCGCTGGCTGTGGCCATGCTGGGAGCTGTGGGGTACGAGTGGGGCACGGGGATTTTAAGACTTTTTTTTTTCATAAATCGGGAGGGTTGCTGTATTTTGGCAATGGGATGGGGTGGTTTCTGCGGTGTTTGAGCTGCATGGACCCTGCTTGATGCCTCACCCATCTCTTCCTACAGCACCCAGGTTTGTGTCCCCCTGTGCCACCGGGACCTGGGCGCCCACCTGCCCTACAGGACCCACCATGTCCCTCCAGCCCTGCCCCACACGCTGCCCCCTGCCTGCATTTGTGGCTGCACGCCGCGGCCCCATGGCCCATGGCCCACCAAGTAAAATCATTTCTATCCTGTATTGCTTCTTTTGTTGTCTTCTTCTGTTGTTTGGTGTCCCAACCACCAGCACAGGGCCTGGATGTGCTGGGTGTGCCGTCCCCACAGACCCCCAGAGTCAGTCCGGAGGGACTCTGGGTGCTGATGGAGCTCACGTGCATTGTGGGCAGTGTGGCCAGTTTAACTCAAACCACGGCCCTGCGGTTGTTCTACGATCTCAGGGCACACGGCTCATACAATGCTGGATGCTTTGTTCACCATGGGACGGGGACACCAGGACGTGGGTTCACCCATCCCAAGGGTCCCCTTCTGGGAATGGCACTTTGGGACCCACCCGTGCCACGAGCGTGACAGTGCTCAGCACACCACCCAGCAGGCACCCAGCCGTAGCGTAATGCTCTGCAGGGAAACGAGCCCGACCTGTTTGCCGCGGGGCTGCGGCCGCACAGGAATGTGGGTGGTTGGAGGCCGCAGGCGGGTCCTGCGGGGGGGACAAGGCGTTTGGCCCCCGCCCTGCGCCCGCACTCCGAGCTCGGCACCAGCACCATGCGCCCGCTGCTGCTCCTGCTGCTCCTGCTGCTGGCCACAGCCCACGGCCTGGGTGAGTGTGCACCACGGGGGGCTCATGGCCCCAAATAATGGGGTTGGGGGGGGGGGTTCTGCTGGCTGGAGGTGTTTCCTGTGCATGCAGAGGGGATCCGTTCTGGAGGATGGGTGTTGTGGGTGACACCGCAGACTGGGACCCTCCTTGGTGTCACCCAGCTCAGCCTGCAGCGCAGCACAGGGTCCCCTGGGGTCTCCCTGGTGGTGGCACTGCTGCCCCTTTTCACAATATTTGCAGCTTCTGAGTCCAAAACGGGTGGTGGCTGTGCGGAGCTGCCCTCCTCCCCGTGCCCAGATCCCACAGCCACCCGGCCCTGCTCTCATTGCTCTGCTGCAGTCAATTTGTCCTACCAACCCCTCCTGGCTCGTGCCGACCTGGGGGGCCGTGTGACGGGCAGCACCTTTGTGCTGGAGCAGCCCCGCTGCGTCTTTGATGAGTACAACACGTCCGAAATCTGGCTGGTGGTGGCTACCAGTGCAGGTGAGTGGGGTGACGGAGGGATGGGGCTCTACTGGAGTGCTCCCCTTCACTGCCATCCCCATCCCCGCAGGCAAGAGTAACTTCAGTGACAGTGCAGAGCCGGAGATGCCCGAGTGGAGCTTCCAGCGCTTCCCTGCCAACACCTCAGCCTACCTGACGCTGGGTACCATGCAGTATCACTACCGCTGCCTTGAGCCCAATGGGGAGCTCACCGTGCTGCGTGTGGGCAGCGAGACCAGCTGTGCTCACGACGCCTCCGTACCCAACTGCAATGGGCCCCTGCCCAGCCCTGGGCCCTATTGGTGGGTTGTTAGGAACAATTTCTTCTCAGAAATGGCAGTGATGCAGTGTCATGGCTGCCAGGGAGGGGGGCTCAATGTCTCTGGAGGTGTTAAGAGCTGCAGGGATGTGGCACTGAGGTTGGGGTTGGACTCGGGGATCTGATAGAACTCTTCCAGCCCTAGAGATTCTTGATCTCCTCTGCAGGGTGAAGTTCCTTGTGCGGAATGGCTCTGAGCCCATAGCCACCACGCAGTGGTCGGAGCCCATCACACTGAAGACAGGTACCAGGGTGAGGGTGGCACGCAATGGGGTGGGACAGTGGGGCAGGTGAGGCACAGCCCTGTTTTGCTCTCCAACAGCCCAGCAGATCCCGAGCAGCCCTGGGATGGGCGGTGGCCGCAGCGGTGCCATGATCGCCATCGCTGCCATCCTGTCGGTGCTGCTGGCCGTCCTGCTGGCCGCCTTCCTGACCATGCTGTGCAGGTGAGTCCCATAGGGCACAAGGGATGGCGACGGGTGCAGCAGCGCGCCGTGTCCCCATGCCGTGTCCTCCCCCAGCTCCGAGGCGTGCGGCGTGGGCAGCTTCAGGCCGGACTCGGCGTCCATCCAACGCTACAACACCCACCATGTGTACGACCAGCCGGCCGCACGGCTCTGAGGGAGGACAACATGTCACCGTGTCACCATATCATCATTGCCTGCCCCCGGAGATGGACTGGGACATAAACAGATTCATGTGTGCCGTGCGTCTGCCTCTGTCTGTGGGCTGTACTGGGGGAGGGCTCAGCTCACAGTGCTGTTCTGTGCATCACGTAGGGGCTGGAGATGACCGGGGTGCTTCTGCCGGGCTCCCCCCACCTGCACCTGGGAAGGGAACACCTGCAGTGCTCCTGAGCAAATATTTGGCTGTAGGAAGCAGAAAATCCTGTGATTTCCAGAACAATGATAATGACTGCCTCACTATCAGCCTGCCAACCGCCCCCAGCTGTAGGGCACCGTGTCCCCATGTTGTCCCTGTAGTGTCCCCATGGAGCTTCCACAGTGTCCCTGTGGTGTCTCCACGGTGTCTCTGTGATGCCCCTGCCAAGACCCCATGGTGTCCCTCAGGGTGCCCCGGGGTGTCCCCAAGGTGTGCTCATGGTGTCTGCCTGGTGCCACATGGTGTCCCTATTGTGTCCCCATGGTGTCCTCACAGTGTTTGCACATTGTCCCCATGATGTC